ACCTGTTCTGATATCGCTCCTCCCCCCCCACCCCCCACGGAGATGAGAGTGGGGGACAGATTGGGGCCCTCCACGGTGATTTCGCTGATTTCGCTGATTTCGCTGTCACCGAGCGCCTTCAGTAGAAGCCAGACAGTGTTTCTTAAAACAGCCAGCCGGGACAGCGGCCTCACCCAGGCCCCAAGCCCAGTATAACTGGGTCAGAGGTGAAGGACAGCGCAGGCTGTTGTGACAGCCCCTATTGGAGCCACAGTGGCACCGTTTCTGCTGGAAGGTCACACCATCTCTGCCCACAGCTCTTTCCCACGGTTCTTGTTTTTTTTTTAATGTATTTTTATTGATTTCAGAGAGGAAAAGAGATAAACATCAATGATGAGAGAGAATCATTGATTGGCTGTCTCCTGCACGCCCCACACTGGAGACGGAGCACACACCCCGGGCCTGTGCCCTTGACCGGAATCGAATTCAGGACCCCTCAGTACGTAGGCTCTATCCACTGAACCACACCAGCTAGGGCTCCCACAGTTCTGTTGAGGCTGGAACCCCCTCTGCCCTTCCTAACCTCTTCAGGGGTTCATTCTCATCTCTCTGTCCCCGTGTAACTCAGTGTTTAATGGGTGGGGATTTTTACCCCCCACTTTCAGATGTGGAAGGCAGAGCTCAGACGGGGTAAACTGGTCTGCCAAGAGCAAGTTGATAACAGAGTGAGGCTAACAGAGTGGTGTCTGAGTACCCACAGGCCTGAGGAGAGGCCTGGGATGCCAGCACAGGCTGCCCTGGGCTGCTTGGCCAGAGCTCCCAGCGGCCTGACTGCACGCAGGGTCAAAGCCCAGGCCACCGGCCAGTGAAGTGGGCGGGGCTGACACTGGAGTCCCACAGGCACGGGGAAGGCCCCAGGGCCAGGTGCTCCCCGAGGGCTCCCTTTCTGCTTCCTCTGCCTGGTCGGCATGCAGGCCTGTGGCTCTCCAGCCAGACTCTCCCTTGCTTCCCAGGTTCTGTCCTTGCCCTGAGGTGTCTGAGAGGCAGACTCTGTCCACTGCAGAGACTGACACTTTCTTGGGACACTGTCCTCGGGGAGAGGGTAGCACACAGGTACAGTAATAGGTGACCCAGGAATTGACCACTCCCTGGAGCAGCACACCAGTTAAAATAGACCCGACTTGCCTGGCCGACGTGGCTCAGTGGTTGAACGTCGGTCTATGAACCAGCAGGTCACGGTTCAATTCCCAATCAGGGCACATGCCTGGGTTGCGGGCTCCATCCCTAGGAGGGGGCGTGCAGAAGGCAGCCAATCCATGATTCTCTCTCATCATTGATCTTTCTCTCTCTCTCTCCCTCTCCCTTCCTCTCTGAAATCAATAAAAAAATATTTTAAAGAGAAACAAAAACAGATTTCCTAGACCTGATAAGGCAGTGGCTTCATGGGGGCGGCATTGTGGGCGCTGAATAGGGCAGAGGAAACAGCCCACTGCTCCAATCCCTCCTGCCCCCTGGGCTCACAGTGAACACTTCTAAGACAAGACAGAAACTGAGGGTAGTAGACACTGAATGATCTTGGAGGACTGGGCTGGGGGGCTGGCATGCAGAGGTGGTCAGATGAGCAACAGGACCCAGGAGATGAGTGCAGGACCGGAGTGGCTGAGAGAAGTGGCCCCTTTGGACAGAAAAGAAGGAGGTGTTCCTGCTGGGGCTGAGTCGTCCCCTGCCCCCCACAAAAGGCAGAGAGCACTGGAGGACAGAAGGGGTGTGGACTGGGGGGTCTGGGCCAAAGCAGGCCTCCGTCGGTGTCGGGGGAGTTTGGGCATGTCTCCTTCCCGGAAAGAAAGAAAAAACTTTTTAAACAATAAGCCTATCAAGAGTCCATGAAACTCATTGTTTCATTGGAAACAGCAATTGGTGCCCTACCCATGCTCATTTTCCCCAGACTCACTGCTCCGGGGCCAAACATGGGCCCGACTCCGTGTCCACAGCCGGAAACATCTCTGAGAATTGGGCCCATTGTGTCCGTGGCTGCCAGTGGCTGGTGTGTGGCAGGCTGTGCAAGATGTTGGCTGCCTGCTGGGTAGTGAGTGAGTAGGTTTCGAGTCCAGCTCCTGGTAGGGCTCTGGGGGCCTCCTCTTCTCTACCAGGCGCCCTGTATTTCTCTTGCTTTGTGGGGCTTCCACTCCTGGCCTGTTCCCACCCACCATCACTTGCAACTGTTCTGGGTTCCTGGCTACCTGTGATTTTTTTGGTTGTCATGGTAACCCCCGGTGCAGCTGCACAGGCTTGAATGAAGGCAGTCCTGGGAGGGTAAGGGTAAGGGTGGAAGATGTGGGGCTCAGCCCCTCTGGCATTTCCTTTTACTCCAGTGCCCTCTTCTTTGGCCAACTCAACGGGGCATTCATGAAGACCCTTGGGACTCCACGTCCTACTGAAGGGTGTCCCAGAAGGGACAGAGAGGACCCCTGCTCGGGGGACCAGGTGCTGAGGGTGGGGAACCAAGTCAGGCCTGGAGGCTGGCTGGCTACTGTTACTCTGAGGCTAGTCTGTGGAGACAGGTAAGCAGCTACATTCCCTCCAGTCCAAGGATGCCTGGGAATGCCATGTTTGCTCGATGGGTAGATGACCAAGCTGCAGAACAGCCGAGAACAAGCCAGACAAGCCAGCCTGCTTCTGGCTGAGGCTGAAGGTGTTGCTTAGACCAACTCGCTGCACCTCCCCCCACCCAGCTCCTCAGCCCCGGGGCAGCCTCCCTGTAGCCTGTTCTGTAATTGAGGTCAGAGTCCTAACTGTGCAGATGCCGGTCCCCCTTGAAAACATATAAAACCTGACAAATGGGCCAACCAGGGAGTGGAGTTGTGATTCTGCCTTTGCAAAGGGCTGGTTGTAGGATTGTTTTAAGAGGGGGCAACTCCTCAGGTGTGGCGGGGCAGTGGGAGTCACACCCAGGTTCCTGGGCGTGGGCTGACTCCTGGCGAACTCGGAAAGGCTGGTCTCCCCGTAGCAGAGAAGAGCTGAGGAACCCTGCCCGCAGCCTCTCACTGCCTGTCCCTCGTGAACCCTTCATGACCTGAGGTCAGAAGCACAACTGTGAAGCACAGGACCCTAATTCGGAGACTGTGAGAGCAGGAGAGCAGTGGGGTTGGCTCTGCTTGCTGTGTGGACGTGCACCCTTCATTCGTTCGGTCCCCCTTCTCTAAGAGCAACAAGTTGGCCACTACCCCTCCCCTCACAAAGCTGATGATCTAAGGCTCCTTCCAGGGGCCAAGGAACTCGACTGGGGAGACTCTGCTGTTTGGAACCACAGGCCTGCCGGGCCCGGAGCTAGCGTGGCGTCTGCCTCCGCAGCACCGAGCTTCTGGGTGTGCCGAGCAGACGTGAGAAGTCCTCGTGAGGATTTGAATTCGTGCTGAGTCGTTACCAGGCAGAGCTTACCATCCCAAAGCAAACGCCTCTCAGGTTCCCACGCCTGCAGCTAGTTGCTTTCTGGTGGGGCCTGGCAAAGAGGGGGAGGACTCTGTCCTATGTCCGCTGGCCTTTGGGCAGCGCCTAGGCTGTGGCATGGACATCCCAGGCAAGTCTTCACCTTTTCCTATTCACTTCTCACCTGGTGTGGGTGCAAGGGGGCCACGTGGGCCATCGACGGACCCTTCCGTTTGCCTGTGTGTCCACCCCTGGGGCAGAGGGTAACGCTGCCCTGTGGTCTGCTCAGCACCATCCAGCAGCGCTGGCCCGGGACCAGCAGACCGGGTCCTGGGGGTCCTGGTGGGAGTGCTCAAGAGGAACAGCAGGCACAGAGGTCGTTCCTGCAAGGCCTCATTCCCCCTTTTCAAGGTTCGTGTTTGGCCTCCCAGGCTCCTTTGTCTGCCTGTGGCTCCCACATTTCTAGATTATTGAAACTTCTGTTACAGCCCTAGCCAGTTTGGCTCAGTGGATAGAGCATCCGCCCACAGACTGAAGAGTCCCGGGTTCAGTTCTGGTCAAGGGCATGTACCTTGGTTGCAGGGTCCCTGGCCTGGTCAGGGTGCGTGCAGGATGCATTCAATCAATGTGTCTCTGTCTCTCCCTCTCTAAAAATCAATGGAAAAATATGCTCAGTTAAGGATTAACTAACTAAATAAATAAAAAGAAAAACTCCAACTATGTACAAGGCCTTCCCCGTTTGACATCTCACCTGCCAGACATCTGCAGGTCCTACGGTCAGCCCATGATTCCACCCAAAGGCCAGGGGAGCCTGACTCTGCCAGGCCTTTGCCCTCACTGTCTGCCATTCTCAGGTGGCTTTCCTCCAGACCCTAAATCAGGTCCTGTCCAAACCTTGGAGTCAGCTTGAATGTCACCCCCTAAAGTGGGGCCCCTAGCTCTCCCTTCACCAAGCCAGACCCACACTGAGGTGGCTGTGTGTCCCCTGGGCTGTGTCCCCAGCGCTTAGTAAGTGCTGGCAAACAGGAGGCACTTGACGCATTACAAGAATAGGGTCCCGGGTTCGGTTCTGGCCTGAGCGCATATCCGGGTTGCGGATCGGTCTCCAGTGGGTGTGCAGGAGGCAGCCAATGGATGATTCTCATCATTGATGTTTCTGCCTCTCTCTCCCTCTCCCTTCCTCTCTGAAATCAATAAAAATATTTTTTAAGTTAATAGAGTATTAAAAACAAAAAGAAGTCTTTAAAAAAAGAAAGAAAAGGAGGAAGATAGGGAGGGAGGGAGGGAGGGAGGGAGGGAGGGAGGGAGGGAGGGAGGAAGGAAGGAAGGAAGGAAGGAAGGAAGGAAGGAAGGAAGGAAGGAAGGAAGGAAGGAAGGAAAAAAGAAAAGAAAGAAGAGAAAGAAGAGAAAGAAGAAACGAAAGGTCTTCAGGACTGCGTGGGAGGCGCAGGACCATGCAGCCCCGGGACCATTCATTCATTCTGGCGCCGCCTTGGGACGGGCCAAGCCGGGCGGCGCACGCGCACGCGCACACAGGGCTCGCGCTCGGCGGGGGCGCGCTCGGCGGGGGCGCGCACGCTCGCGGCCGCGTGCGTCACAACCCGGCTCGGGCCCCGCCCGTCCCGCCTGCCCGCCGGTCGGTCCCTGGGCGGCGGCGGCGGCGGCACCGGGCCGGCCGTGCTAGCGGCGGACGGTCGTGCGGCCCGGAGACGCACAGCCGGCGCGAGGGAGGCCCGACCGCGGTCGCGCGTGAGGAGACCACGCGGGCGCCGGGCGCGAGGCCGGCGTGAGGGAGCGCGGAGCAGTGGCCGCGGGCGGCCGGACCCGCCTGTCCTCGCCGCCGCCGGCATGAGCCACATCCAGATCCCGCCGGGGCTCACGGAGCTGCTGCAGGGCTACACGGTGGAGGTGCTGCGGCGGCGGCCGCCCGACCTCGTCGAGTTCGCCATCGACTACTTCACCCGCGTGCGCGAGGCCCGCGCCCCGGCCGCGGCCGCAGCCCCGGCCTCGGCCCCGGCCCCGGCCCCGGCCCCGGCCCCGGACCCCGGCCCGCCGTCCGCCCGGCCGTCCGCCTCGCAGGAGCTCGAGGAGCTCGGCCCTAGCGTCCCCGAGACGGAGAGCGAGTCCGAGGAGGAAGACGAGGTGGACGGTAGGCGGCGGGGGGACGGAAGCGGCCGGGCCGGCGGGCTGGGGGCGGCGGGGCCGGGGCCGGGCCTGTCGGGGCTCCCCGCGCCCGGAACGAGCGGCCGGGGTCCGTCTCCGAGGAAACGTGCGCGCCGGGGCCGCGTGGTGCGGGGGCCCGCGGGAGCCGCCGGGAGCCCCGGCCTCCGGGCCCTTCGGGAGGCGAGGACGCCCCCACCCACCGGCCCCGGTGGAGCGCCGGGCGGGACGGGGTTCGGAAGGAATTCATTTTGTGAAAAGTTCCTGGGAAAACTTTAAGCCCCGACGAAAGTGGAGCGAAAAGAGGCGCAGAACCTGCTGCCGGCGCCCACGCGGCCGTTCAGGGCACGAATGTCGAAGCGCCTTGTGAATGCGCGGTCGGTGCGTTCGGGGGAGGGAGGGGGAAGCATCAGCGGAGGGTCCTGCCGGGCTGCCCCCCGCCGTCCCCCGGATCCCGCCACCCGGCCTGCGCCCGCCCGGACCGAACCGGGACCCTTAGTCCGCGGGCGGCGCTCTACCCACTGGGCCACACCGGCCAGGGCTTTGCTAACGTGTCGCTAAAGCAAACGCCCCTCAGGCTGTGCCACCGCCGCCTCGGGCTCGGGGTCGCATTTCTGACTGTGGACCCTGGGGCCGCGCCGGCGGGTGGGCTTTTGGCGGAAACGCGGGTCCGCCTCGCGCAGCACCAGGTACCTCTCCATCAGACGGAAGCAGGTGGTCTGGTCGGCGGACAGCCGCTCCGCCCGGGCGGCCCCCACACCGGCTCGGTCGGATGATCAGCTGGTCGTCCTGCCCCTGAACAGAACGGGAGGGTTGGAGAGACGAGTTAGGGACTTGGTGCGGTCCGGTCGCCCTGGAAAGGAAGCCGGGTCAGAGGGGCGTCCACGCGGGGTCAGCTGCAGGGAGGGAGTGAGTGGTCAGTGATCCGGGCTGCTCCCCGCGTGCATTCACGCTCTTCCGTGTTCCCTTCGCGTCCTGCACATGGAACATGGGCTCTCCCCTCGTCGTTTCCCACGCCCCTGCCTCGGGTTTGCTGTGTGGTCTCAGCCCGCTGTCAGAAGTGTCAGCTCTACTTGTCTCTGAAACGCGGCCAGTGGCGGCCTCTCCCAGGGCCCAGCGCTTTTACAGGCATTATTTCGGGAGAGATCCCTGGCGGTGTCACTGTAGACCACCAAGTTGGAACCGGCTTTGCGACATTTTTTCTCTGGTCTCTTTTTTTTTTAATTTATTTTTAAAATTAGAGTTGACGTACAATATTATATTAGTTTTAGGTGTGCACAGTGATTAGACATTTATTTATATACCTTACAGAGTGATCACCCCATAAGTCTAGTCCCCTCTGACAACACACTAGAATACTAGAGGCCCATGCACCCCCTCCCCCCTCAGGGTGTCTGCCTCTGCCCCCCCCTTCCCCAGCCACCTCTGCCTTAGCCCCCACCCCCACTGCCACCATGGCTTCATCCAGAAGGTCGTCCAGAAGGACGTCCGGTCTAATTAGCATATTATGCTTTTATTGTAGGTTATAGATTAGTGATTATTTTTCCTATTCTGTGCTTTATGTCCTATTATGTGACTATTTTTATAACTGGCATTTATACTTCTTAATCCCTTTCACCTTTTTCACCCATTTCCCCCAAACCCCTCCCATCTGGTGACCAGGAATTGTGACAGTTCTTATTTACACAAAACAGTATTTTAGAAATTAGTCCCTGATGATTAGAATGGTGTTTACAAGTTTTTGTAATGTCTTCATTCTTTGTTATTTTTGATACCTTTTTCAAAGTTGAGTTGACTTGAATTTTGGTAACCCTGTGCTTTGTTTTACTGGTATTTCAATGTTTCTTGTTTATATCTCTTAAGTGGCTGTGCTGTGTATAATTATAGAAATCAGCACAAGGTGAACTTCTGTTTACAGATAATAGACTAAAGCATCGCACACCATGAGATACCTGCTTCACACTCATGAGCCAGGCTATTAGGAAAAAACAGAAAATAGCAAGTGTTGGTGAGGGTGTAGAGGAGTTGGAACCCTTGCTCATTGCTGGCAGGAATGTAAAATGGTCTGGCTGCTGTGGAAACAGTTTGGCGGTTCCTCAAAAAGTTAAACATAGAATTACCATACGATCAAGCAATTGTGCTGTTTTTCATATCCCCAAAGGACTCGAAAATAGGGAGTCGGACAGATACTTGTGTGCCAGTGTTCATTGGAGTGTTATTCACTATAGCCAAGGGGTAGGAACACCCCATGTCCCATCAATGAGAAATGGATAAACAACATGTGGTATAGATTTACAGTGGAATAGTATTCACCCCCAAAAAGGAATGGAATTCTCAGACATACATGCTACAACACGGATGCACTTGGAAAACATCATGCCAGTGCACATATGCCGGACACAAAGGGCAGACATTGTGTGATTCTGCTTGCAGTCAGATTCATAGAGAAAGTCGAAAGGCGTTTCTCGGGCTCCGGGAGCAGGTAATGGGGAGTGATTGTTTCATAGTCGCAGAGTTTCTGTTTGGGAGATGAAAAAGTTCTGAAATTGGATAGGAGTGATTTTTTAAAAATATATTTCTATTGATTTGAGAGAGAGGAATGGAAATGGAGTTAGAAACATCGATAAGAGAGAAATCAATTGGCTGCCACCTGCACGCCTTCTATTGGGGATCAAACCTGCAACCCCGGCATGTGCCCTGACGGAGAAGCCAACCCATTGACCTCTTGGTTCAGGGGTGGCGCCTAAACACTGACCCACACTGGCCGGGCCAGATTTTTTTTTTTTTTTATGGAGATCAAATCATATCACTCTTAAGTTTAATCCCCTCAGTGCAAGTGAAGTGAAATCCCTCATCTTCTGTGGCCCACAGTCCTGCAGGATTTGGTTCCTGTTTCTCTCTACCTCTTCTCACCCGCCCTCCTCGCCTTCCCGCTTGGCTTGTGTCTACACTTGCCGGGTCTCTCCCTCCCCGGTGGTCTGCTTGCTGCTGGCTCTTCCAGAGTCTCTCTTGCCCGGCTCTGACCAGCTCTGCCTTTAGGCCTCGGCTTGGAGAGGCGTTTCCATGTCTACCTGCCTAGAGCAGGTCCCTCTGTTGTTGGGGTTCAGTAGCACCCCAACTGGTTACTTTAGGGCTCTGGTAATGATCTAAGATTCTTTTTTTTAATTTTAATATATTTTCTTGATTTTTTACAGAGAGGAAGGGAGAGGGATAGATAGAAACATCGATGAGAGAGAAACATCAATCAGCTGCCTCCTGCACACTCCCTAATGGGGATGTGCCTGCAACCAAGGTACATGCCCTTGACCGGAATCGAACCCGGGACCCTTGAGTCCGCAGGCCAATGCTCTATCCACTGAGCCAAACCAGTTAGGGCTGATCTAAGCTTCTTGTTTGTTTTGTGTTGTTTTGTGTCCAGTGCTTAGCAGTTAGCCTGGCCCATAGTGGATACTTAGAAACCTCTTGTTGACTGAATCGGGGGAGCAAGGACGGCGCTGACTTTGGAGACTGCTCCCACAGAGTGCACCGGGGACACGTGGGAGCTGGCGGGGGACTGGTGGTCAGGGTGTTGGAAGCAGTGGAGAGGTCAAGTCGGGGAGGCCAGCGTTGAAGTGGTTGGACACAGCGCTGATTCTCAGAGATGGGGGCTCTGGGGGTCATGGTGGACGAGGGTTATTACAGTGGGTCGGGGGAGTGTGTGTGTGTGTGTGTGTGTGAAGGTGGCTGCAGAAGATCAGACCAGGCATGGGGAGTACATTTTGAAGACGTGAAGCTGCGAGACAGTGGTTTTCTTTTTGTTAAGATAGACTCACCCTTAGCACGTTCGTTTGCTGAGGTCAGGAGCCATGGAGAGGCGGCAGCTGCTGGAACAAGGTCCTGGAATGGGTGGGTGGGTTAGGACACAGGGAAAAGGGGGGGCAGCTCAGACTCAGAAACTGAAGAGGAATGCGATTCCTTAAATAACTTAGCAGTTATTTTACTTAGAGGGTAATTTAAGATTTTATTTTTTTATGACCTTAATTCAAAGTCTTGTCTTCTACTTACTTGATTCTAATAAATGTGAATGTTTAAGCTAAAGAAAATTATCTCTTTGAAATTGGTAATTGATTTTTCTGGCTTATCTGTCTGTTGGCCATTTTGAATGTCATGGATATATGAAAGAGAAGCGAATGAATTTTTATTGATTTTAGAGAGGGAGGAAGGCGAGGAGAGAGAATCATTGATGTGAGAGCAATACATGGATCAGTTACCTTCCTCACCCGCCCTGACCGGGGATTGAACCTGAAACCTAGGTATGTGCCCTGACTGAGAATCGAACCGGAGACCTTCTGGTGCACAGGATGATGCTCTAACCCCGTGGTCGGCAAACTGCGGCTCATGAGCCACATGCGGCTCTTTGGCCCCTTGAGTGTGGCTCTTCCTAAGCCTTAGGAGTACCCTAACTAAGTTAATAACAATGTACCTACCTATATAGTTTAAGTTTTAAAAATTTGGCTCTCAAAAGAAATTTCAATCTTTGTACTGTTGATATTTGGCTCTGTTGACTAATGAGTTTGCTGACCACTGCTCTAACCAAATGAGCCACACTGGCCAGGGCACAAATGCATTTTTAAAAGGTTTATAATTTAGACCTTTTGGGGGGATTTCTTTTTAAAATATGTCAACTACTACATACAAAATCTTTTATCTGGAAATGAAAAAAGACAGCTTATTGGATCCCCTTTCAATTCTCAAAACTCTTCAGTATCTGATGAGAAATGATGAGCTATTTCTGGATGATTATATTTGGAGTTTTTCATTTGCGCTTGGTAAACTTTTTAGTTTCTTGAAAAAAAATAAAGTAATGAAAAGATCATTAGTACGATGAAAAATATTGGAGGCGCCGAAACCGGTTTGGCTCAGTGGATAGAGCGTCGGCTTGCGGACTGAAAGGTCCCAGGTTCGATTCCGGTCAAGGGCATGTACCTGGGTTGCGGGCACATCCCCAGT